AGTGCTGCGCCCCCCGGGGCAGGGGCCCCGAACAAGCAGCCTCGCCCCGCAGCTCGGTACGTCGGCTTTGGCAGAACGCGTTTACGGGGCACGCAGGAGCGCGCGCCCGCCGGAGACCCCCTGCGCGTGCCGGGAGGGCGAGAGGGAGCGACCCACTGCCAGCAGCCACCAAGAGCATGTGCAGCATCTGCTCGTCCCAGTGCAGAGCGACCCAGGCTGCCGGGCAGGAGGGGACAGGCAGCGAAGAGGGCGTCAAAAAGAAAAACAAAGAAAAGTACGCAATGGCCCGAGGTCTGGGGCTTGCTATTTTTAAATACAGGATTGTTGCCAAAATAGCACAGCTGCTTTGAAGAAGCAGGGGACTGTGCCGAGGTTCAGGACCTCCGAGGTGGCAGGGCCAGGAACCAGCGCTGCTGCAAACATGGCTGAGGTGGTCCAGCCACCTGTGGGTGCCAGGCAGCGCCCTGAGCCTTGCCACCATGTCACCCTGATGGCATCCACTGGTGACAGCAGAGACAGGCACTTATGGAGCCTCCATGAGGAAGCTGGAAGCGGAGAATGAGTGCCAAAACCTCTAATACTTGCCTTACCTGTTGACTCTGCGTGGACATTTGTCGGGCTTGATATCCACTTCATAATGGTACACATCGATCTTGGGAATGTCCACTTCAAAGTAGTTGGCCAAGAGCTTGATGGGCTTCCCAACGGTTCCTATCCCGGGCCGACGCGGCGCTTGAAATACCTGCTGCAAGGGTGGCAGGTATGCGCCTGCAGCTGCGGGGAGAGAACACGGGTCGGGAGGGATGGGAGAAACCCCCTGCCCAGACAGACAGACAGACAGACAGCGCAGAGTCGCGGCGCTCCCCGTCACTGCCTCCCGAACTGGGAGGTCTCCCACCACCCATGCTCCTGGCAGGAGGTGGCAGTGGCAGAATCCGGACCAGCACAGCTGGGAGCAGCTTCCCTGCGCGCCATCCGGCAAGCGCCGGCGCCAACCGCGCCGTCGCAGGGCAGCGCCGAGCCCTCTGCTCCGCTGGGCCACCACGGGCTCTCCACACGCCAAACCACCCACCGATAAATACTCCCTGCTGTGCCGTAGGGACCGGGACTCGCCCAGGGCCCCGCGCGGCAGCAGCACAGACCTCGGGAGGACAAGGGACTCCCGCTGTCCGTCCGTCCCGAGCACGGGCGCACCCGCGCCCTGGT